TTACGAGAGACGAGCCAGAGGGATTCGGTGAAAAGGACAGTAATTTTCGGTAATCACCGATTGCACGAGTCGATGAATCGTTATGCAGATTCACGTTACGTACCCGCTGTTAGCCAGAGTGGAAGAAAGGGTCTTCAGGATTAAAAGTTGCCGAATCGATACCATGATTGATGAGAGAGTAGAAAGAAAAGGAAGAAACTGAAATTGCCGAAGAGAAAGAAAACCTTGTACTTAAAACGAGGGACAGAAACAAATGAGAGGAAAACGAGGGGGAGAGAGCAATGTAGCTGGATACAGTTTGATACTTTAGAATTATTTTTAAAAAATGTTTAAAAGTGACAGGATAAATAGTATCTGTTCGATTATGATAAATAGTAACTATCGAACATGTGTAACGTCCCTGGAACCTAAGTTCAGCTAGTCCTGGAATTTCTGTGACGTCAGAATATCTAAATTTTCATATAATTTCATTATTATACATTAATTATAAAATCGAACGGTTTAGTTATAATTTAAATGTCGCTCTTTAATTTCTGGCTAACAATTTGATATTAAAATAGTAGTGTAACAGTGTTTTAGCGAAAAATACATTTTCTGTCCTTTTCTAATAAATTGCGTACGAATTCTATGAGAGTCGAATCTATTCCGATTTACAGCTTTTTAATTGAAGAAAATAATTGTGGTTCCGGCCATGAATAGTTTAGTAATGACTGATTTTACGTATATAATTTGATTTAGTTAATTAATTAATTTACTGTTTGATAATGCCGTAAATAGAAATAGTATCACTATCTTTTTCTAGGATTAGCGCTGATCTCAAGGATTTCGGGCGAGTATCGCGGCACGTAGGCACATCATAGCGTAGCGGAAATTTCTTATACAAAACTATTTATTAGAAAAATAAAATAAAATAATACATAATCTTGTTTTAACGATTCAAACTTAATATTCAATTATTGGTATGAAAATATTACCTATTCTAAATCAAAGTTATAAGATAATTAATATAAACGAAAATATATATATATATATATTGATTACCGACTGTCGAATTTGATAGATATGGTAATAGATACCTAATGTACTGTCGATAATTGGGAACTACGGTCGATAATTGACTATTCTAATCGATGGATAGAAGATTGTCGCGATGATGCCGGTAGAAAGAAAAAAGGTTTCTCCAGGGACGTTACAAATGCAACGGCGCGAATTATAAACGCATGTTCTAACAGTAATAATATTAAAAGCCTTGATTTTCTTACAACCTAAAGATTATACAGCTTGTTATAACATGTAATAACATTTGTTAATTCATAATATGTATTACCTCTTAAATTAATCGGATTTGTCAAAAATTTCTTTAAATATATCGAAGAATTTTTTTATAAAATTCTTTCAAATTTAATTTTGTCAGACCAGATGTCTAATGATAAAATATTCTTTATTGTAGATTTATTTTTTTATGTAAAATTATAATCTTGTAGTTTTTATCACAATTTTTGGAATACTGTATAATTCGACCGTTGTTTGTTTCCCTCTCACAACGTTGGATTTTCAGCAATTTTCAACAAATTACAGTACACTCTTTAAAGCAGAATAACTTTTTTAAAATTTCATTAAATGACACGAATCTTATTAGCAGTTAGTAGGATTAGTTTACTAAATAGCGCGCTTCCTTTGTTGTGAAAAATTGCAATTGGTCCGAGATATGGAAAGAATGTAGGTCACTTCCTCCAACTTTTTTATCTGAGTCGGTAATAAAACTTTTAAAAGTGACTTTTTTAAATCGAAGTAAGTGAAAGTTTCATAAAAATCGCTTGTGAAAGTTTCATAAAAATTGTGATTTTTGCTACGCTTGCAGTCTTTACATAACTTATTTTACCATTTTTGTAGCTTCTTCCAAGATTTCTTCATAACAAAATTCGACGTTTTTTGTGAAGTTAATAGTCTCTTGTATCAATGCTTATTAATACGTTTCATTTTACTTCCGTGAATAATACAAGTTTCTAAAACTTGATTCTAAGTTTTTAAACACTTTATATACAGTCTTTGTTTAATCAGTACGAAATAATTGTTGGAATATAATATAATACATTTACAAAATTGATGAAAAAATATTGTTACTATATGATTTTTACGACTGATGTCAGTAATATTTACTAGAATATTTATAATTAACCGTTATCGGTCGCTAGCTCTTTGTATAAAATAAGCATCTCCAACATAAAGGAATGGTTTTCCATCGCACGTTTCACAGAAGTATAGTGTTGCTTTTCTTCTTCCAAGCAATTTATAATTAAAACATATTAAGCAATCGTTATGTTGTGCTTTAGCATCAAGTTGCGTCAAGTTGATATGTAGTTTTCCATCCAATCTACCTTTATAGTTTATTCTTAATGGTGTTCCATATCGCTCAGTTTCACTTTCTCGAAAATCAGAATTTCGGCAGGTTCCATCATTGTCACTTCCCACGTGACGTACAATGGCAGTGCCAAAGAAGTGTTGTCGAGTAAGAGGCGACTTACGACTGATAAGGGTTAATAATAACAAGGATTATGATTGTTAACATTAGAAAAATTATTGTCATTACATACTCCTCATTATGCCGTTACTATAATATTGATAATTTTATAATAACAAGCATTAGTATTGTTAACATGAAAACAATTAAATTCCTGAAAATAACTGATTTCAGATTTCTTATTTTAAATTATGGAAATTATTATTAGCACTAGAACCAACCAGTCTAAATGACTGGTTTCAAGTTTCATATTTTATATTACAAAATATTATTGTAGTGCTTTTATCAAAATGAAATATTTTGTTAAGGTTGTAACGTGTCCCGGTTGCTGGCTCAGCCGGTATGCTAGGTCGGGGCAAGGTGAATGAGTAAAGTTTTGTTTACGTTTGATCCCGGTTTTTTATTTTACCTTAACTATACATGCGCGGTGGACTTACGTACTAACGCGGTTCGGTCGAGAGGCGAATATTTACGCGGGTCACGGACTTATCTTAACGCAGACGGACGCGGATCGAGTAACAGACGCAGTTCGCGGATGGACGAAATTCTCGGGATCGTTCGCGGACGGATGCAATTCGCAGGACGGTTTTGGGTAGAGTCGGTTGCGGTTTTACAATCGCTCGCAGTTCGCGGTTCACATTTACGCGATGCTAGGATCAGACAGACTGCGGGAAACAGATGGAAGCTGCTAGGACAACGGTTGCAGGGTAATCCGCTGGAACCTGGACAATCGGAGGACCGGTGACGCGGTGGACGTTTCCCGTAACGGTGCTCGCCCTTCCGGCGGTCTGGACTGCCAACTCGATAGCAATCTATTGGGCATGGCGGAAGTACCGGTGGTCTTTTCTCTTACGGCTGCAGGGCAATCCGCTCGAGAGACTACCGGAGGATAGGGATATTGAGTCAAAGACTCTTCCAAAACTCGTAGCAGTATGATTTCTCTTTGACCTCTATCGGCTCAGTAAGGCAGATGTCAAAGCGAGGTCCTGGTCCGCGTTTGTCGCTTCTGATGCGAGACGGTCGCGATCTTGCAAGCATTAAAAGGTAAAGTATATTTGTATAGATCAGATGATGTTTCAGTATTTACTTATTTATTTTTCTACTGAGTTTTAATTTAAATATGAGTGTGTATTCAGTATCGTTAGTCTTGGTGTTAATGTACTTTTGACAAATTATATATTCACCATTATTAATACAAAATACAAGGTGTTTCGAAATTACTGTGAGAGTGGAAAGAGAGTGGTAGGTGGGGCGATTCTGAACAATTTTTCCCTTTGCCAAAATATTGGTTAATGCACCATTTTCGAGTTATTAGCAAAACACACTGACCAATGAGAGCGCGCATAGACCGGACGCGCGATAGCGTGAGCGTCAGCTTCAAATATGACGGACCTATCCTCGCGTCGCGTCGTCGTGAACAAGCGTATCGATACCACATCGATATAGCGTCGGTATAATAGGAAGCTGTTAGATGAAAGTTACACCGAATAATGAACAAAAAATCTGGATTACTGTTGAATTATCATTCATTCATGGATAGGAAATAACGAAATTAGTCCCTACTCACGTAATCGGAATAAATCGAATTTATTCGATACGTTTATTCATTATCGCAAAGAAATAATAGATAAAATATGGAAAATTATTCTCGTTAGATATTGTGATGATAAAAATGAACAAATTCTCATTTTTGAAAAATTAAATAACTTTTCTATTCAACAAATCAACATTTAAATTGAATAATTAACAAATTTAAATGCAACTTACCCATTGAACCGCAAATAGTCACGATGAAAATACATCTCTGTCACTGGGTCGATTCATGGATCCTTACCGTTTGTATAAATAAATCACCACACAGAAGCTCTCAATTTACTTCACTATCACCTATTACTGTCATCTTTCATTACTAGCTTTCATTATCACTTTTTCCTGACACTTTTCACTAATTATTTATTGTAAGCCGGATTCGTAAATAGACTGAATGAAAACACGTGAATGAATATTCATAAATAATTTTAACTATACTGTCTTGAAAGCAAGAATACAGAATTTTTCATTAAAAACAACGGTACATTTTATTTTGGCTGATTTCCTTCGATAGTAAACGATGACTGTTAATCGACGCTGCGGTCACTCAACACATCATTGTTTGTATGGCAACCGTTCGCAACGTATGCCTCGCGATCGAGATGGAAATCGAGATCCGTGTCCCGTTCAATAATATCTTCTAATAAAGTATAATATAATATTGATTTCTCAATACGGATACCTTATAATGAGAATATAGAGTATCGTTAAACATACAAACCTATGAATAATCGTTCACGCGTTTTCATTCGGTCCGTTTACCGGTCGTGCTTATGTTGTGCAATTAGTAGAAAGAGATAGTGAAATAAATGGAGAGTTCATTAACCCTGCTAGGACATCAGCTGTTGATGCTCTGATCGGAGGATCTATCCGGTGACATAAATATTTTTCATCGAAGCTGGTTTTTCAAGGGTCAATAGGTAAGTTTTATTTAAGTAGTTTGTGCATTTTGAAAATTAAACGTACGAAGGAATTGATTTATTTCACTTGCGTGAGTTAGATCAAATATTCCATTCCAGTTCTATCTCATTTCATAGACAAGGTATTCATTCGCTTTGAAACGTGAATTTATTCATTTGCTTCATCAGAATAGTTACAAAATTAATGTTCATGAATTTATTCTTTATTCCTTTTCGAAGGCATAAAATAAACAACAATTAATTGGTTTATCTCCTATTTAAGAATAACGAAGAACTTCATATTATTTTTAACTTCTTAATTCATTATTCGATGTAACTTTCACCTAATATAGCTTCCTGTTATACCGACGCGGTATCGATACGCTAGTTCACGATCACGACGACCGGTCGTTGTGATTGGTCAGTGCTTTTTGCTAATAATTCGAAGTGGAGCCTCAACCTACATTTTGGCAAAGGAAAAAGTTGTTTAGAATCGCCCCTCCCACCACCCCTTTTCGGCTCTTACAGTATTTGTGAAACATCTTGCATATAGGCATTACCTCATTTCTTATTTTTTACATAATTTGCTTTATTTATTTTCAATTGTAAATATATTTGCAAAATGAAAAGTTTTTGTGTTATTTTGTTAAAAGTTCATTAATTCGATACATTCACTTCGAGTGGACATATTTCGTTCACTACGATCAATACTATACATATATAACTGAAATCTGACGAATGTATATCGATTCTAGCATTCAAAAAAGTTCGTAGCGTTCTTAGGTTGAAAAGTGACAAAAAAGTATTCTATCCTTTATGAAATAGTAATCAAAGAGATTGCTTTGAATGTTGTGGAAATTTTTGCATACCTGTAGTTTTCATTTAATAGAAATAGATTTTCCATTTTTTATATTTAGTTTCTACAAATGAAATTCATGTTTGAGTTACTTAAAGGACTGTTAATTAATGAATTAATATACTAGTAATATATAACACAATTAATAGCTGTTATATTATTAATTAAATTATTATATCATATATCATATTATTAATATGTATAATAATATACAATTATGTATTCTGATTTGAACATGTAATTTGTTTAAATATTTCTTCAATATTTTTCAAAATCTATTTATTATGAATCACGAAAGGAAATTTAATATGTTAAATTTTCGTATAACACGGTTTTTATATAACTGTGAAAAATTATGAATAGGAAATAGTATCGTATTACGACTAAAAAAAATTCCATATTATTGGAATAATAACGTTGTATGGTGTCTATATGCGTCGCGTCTTTCTCGTCGTTGATTGCTATGTTCAGGTTGCTTCACCTCGCTCATGGCAACACATGTTAGACTGGTTTGCATGTTAAGTAATTCTTTGTGAAATATACTACAGTATTGTTAGATAAAATCACAAATCGGAAGGGAACTCGAAGGAAATAGTGAACCGTGTTTTTGAGAAAACTGTACGCAGTCTATTTCTGATAGAAATACGATTTATTTTGACGTGTGTCCGTTTAAAACGTTTCGGTGACTCTACGGGCCTGTCCTGACCCGCTAGCCCTGCATCGTACGCCTCAGTCCTACAGACGAGGGTGGGGGTGACAATTGATGTTGTCCATGCCCTGCCTGTAGTCGTGCTAGTTTCGCCGCAGGAAAATTCCACCACGTCTTACAGTATTCTCTCCGTAAATGTTACAACTGCCGGTCTCGATTATAACATTTATGGAATAGGTACTACATTCTTTGTAGTGAGCCGAACATAGAAAAAGACAGCAACACAAAAGACAAAGAGGGACTGAGGTTCGGCAAATATGAAAGACTCGTACGTGTTCTGTCTTTTAAATTCAAAAATCAAAATTCTTTATTTTTGGTTTTTCGTGAATGAAACTTTGAGTATTCGTCTCGTTTTTCTGATTAAAATGGTACCAAACACGGTATAATTAAAATCATAATTACTTGTATAGAAAGCCGTTAGGAGGAATTCGTATTTCTGCTGTAAATGTAAAGTTACAAAATAGCAATGCACGGGACGAAGCAAGGACAGTGGTGCTCGCATTAGAGCGGTCGTTCCATATCGCGCCAATATTACCGCGATGGCGCTCTGGCGCGGAGTACCACCGCCTTTGCTTCGTCTCGCGCGTTGCTATTTTGCTTTCTAGCATCGTAAAAAAAACGACGTTGCAACTTTCTATGGGTGCATTTTAAAGGTGAAAATGTGCTCTATCGCGTGGTATAGTTCAATTTTCCACTAGACCTTTACTTTTTAAGATAAATTGAAGAATATACGTAAAAATCGGTGCAAAATCCGTGTCTCTCGGCGTTCAATGACCATTTAAACATATTTAAACATTCAGAATGCATAACAAGCAGATATCGTTGTATTCAGGAAAGTCTATAGAATTTATTGATACAAACAGAATCTTAGTATCTTTTATAGTTACCTTACAAAATTGGTTCAAATTTTAAAAATGTGTTTTTTCTTCAAACTCAAGTTTCTCAAAAACTGTACATGCTGGAGAAAAACGGGTTACAGATTCGTAATCAGCGCAAAAATGCTATAAGAATCACTGAACGAAAATAGAAACGTCGAAAAAGAGCTAAAATTTATTGGACAGTGTTATTTATTACAGTTCTACAGAAGTAGATTTATAATTAGAATTATCGAAATCGTTTACAAAACATTATAACATTTTTACACAAGTAGTGAAACTATTGATGCTAAGTTAGTACAGTGAGATAGGATCAGTCGATTCGGTTATTGAACCGAAACGTTCTATCTGCATGCATAATTTTCACATTGGTAATTAATTCATAATGACGAGTTAATATTGAATTATGTGTACGGATCAAATACTGAATACTAGCACCAGTGGGCCATGTAATGGAGAAATACGGAAATCCGCGGCATGAACGAAATATCCGCAAAGAATAATATTTACGTTGGATTCGTGACATTAAATAAACATGCTTTGTATACGTCGAATTTATTGTCAGGTTCATTTAATATTTCATACGTCTACACTCAAGATACTCGCATACCCATACGGTAATTCAATACATTAAACGTACTTTATGCCTTACAATTTTTATCTTTTGCAAGTACTGTGTATTGGAAATTTTAAACATACCATAAGTAGGAAAACTATTCAACAATTGCACAGACAAGTCGCTTAACCCTTTGACTTACAATATCGTGTTACATTCGTAATGCACATTACAGTTCAATTACAACTAAACAAAATTATATTCGTAGCTCGATTGAGTCTTGAGTTTAATACCAGCTATAATTTGCATAATCAAGGATCCCTAAATCCAAAACATACCTAACATTTCATCTTCTTTATTTCTTTTAATACGGCAGTAATAATTCGTTCCTACCGCTATTACCGTATTTATAGTCAACTTGTTAAAACAGTCATTCTATTGTGTTTTAATGTAACTGCAATTTACAATTTACATTTCTAAAATCACAATTTCATAAACTGTTACTGCCGTGGTAAAATGTTTTACAAGAATATCAAAATTTTGTGCGAATTATAAAAAAGTAACCGATTGCTAATAAGAGATTCTCCGTATCGGGAACATTCGTAATTTACAATAAATCATTTTGAAATTTGGAAACTTGGTAAACAAAATTTGTCACGTTGCAAAATAGGCGTTTAATAAAGATTTATGATGACAGTTGTTCGCATCGGAGTTATCTATCGGTGTGCAGTATAACCCAAGAAAAGTTCAACTAATCGACATAGTTCGACTCATAAATATAAATAAATACATTTTCCTCTAAATGAACCTATATATTGAACAATATTCATTATTTAAATTATCGTTAATGCATAATTAACACAAAAATTTAACAAATACGCAACTTCTTTTTTAATCATCCATATTTTTATCAATTTTGTATTTTTTTCTAACAATAAGATAAGGTGAAAATGACATGCGTAATGGTAAATGTTTTGTGTAAAATTCAATTATGTGTTCAGGAATAGCCACTTCGTGGGAGGGATCGTGTTTACGAAGGTTTGTCAAAGAATTTCCTCTTCTAGTTCTAAATTTCTTCTTCTAGTCTCAGGGTTGTTTTACGATTTGGAGTTTTAGCGTGAGACCCCGTCATCATGGTCGTCGTAGCGACGTAACCATGTGTTTCTTTGGGATTTTCCAGCATTTCTTTTACCTGTTAGCTTCATCCATGGCATAATTTTATAACAAAAGTAAAGCAGCTTCTCTTTAAACTTCAAGTGCATACCCGATACCTCTGATGCGTAGACTGCAAATTGTTATCATAAATCTTTCATAAACTCCTGTTTGGTAACTTGACAAATTCTCTTTACCAGTAAATATTTACAGTAAAATATTCCCGGGTTGGAAAAGTTTCATTGAACCGTTTCTTTAAAAAAATCCCAAAAAGACATTTACAAGTTACTTTGAACTGTCCCTTTGAATTAAAGTCGAGGTTTTAATGCAATTACTACAGTAAATGCTCGAAATGTAGAATAGTTAATATAGACTTATGTATAACACCTACTTTTTAGACTTGAAATGAAATTTATGTATAAACGCATTACAGCTTTACGTCACATTTCAATAACATTGTAAAACTAATTAACCTGTTAATATCACTCGTGACGCACTTGGGGAATTCCCTTTTTAATTACGCAGCGTACAACGGGCGCGAACTCTTTCACTAGAACGTACTTTCATATTATTATTTTTTTTTTTTATTTAGAACATGTCCACCACTCTCAATAGCGAAATGATACTGATTTTCTTCGTGTCTTAAATTCTTGTCGAAACATGTATCGATGACTAATACCTTTGTTGTACGAAACTATACGTTCCACTCGTTCCAGGGCGCAATTATTTTAAGGACGTATTTACATGTCCTACCCGTACATGCTATAGTTTATGTTTGACGTATTTATACGTCCCGCCCGGTTAACAGGTTAAAATCGGATCATGTATATTTTCAACAGAAATCTCTTAAGAACAATAATTTAGTCATTCACA